TTTGAAGGTTTGGTTGCAGGAAGTCTCTGACAGTAATGGACAGACTGAAGACAACTCTGATGTGATGACAGAGGAAGAAAGAATAATTAACTACATGTTGATTTGGACTCAAAGGACTTTAACCAGGCAATTATCATACACCGTTACTTGACTTACACCACAGAGAATATGCTTTCTATACTTACATCTTGCTGTACATCAATTCTAGATGAAAAACCTGCTATTGACAGATAAAGCAGTTAGAAAGACAATCACTGCTCTGCACTTGCCTTTTTGGTATCAATGCAACAAATTAGATCAACTAGATTAGAGCAACTTCATGATTTCATAAACAAAACCTTCAATTGTTTTCAATTCTCCATCTTAATCCCTTCTTCCCCTTTTACGATATGATGCAGAATGTCCTCCGCAGGGACCGGCTTGGAGATCCTGCTATAGGCCATGGTTACAGACTTAACCTTCAATTCCTTGCTGGTGCATTGCTCCACCAGCTCCTGTTTTTACTTTTAGCTTCCACTTGAAGTTTTTCTCCAGTGTCTCCTCCCACAGGTCTGTCAGTTTAAGTACGACAATGTTCCTTTGTGCTCGTTGACCAATTTAACAATTTTGCCCTGAGTAATGCAATAGCAATCTCCAGTGGGAAGATGAGGCATAATCTGTGCCAACACATTCTTAAGGAAGGGCCTATGTTCACTCAAGTGGGATCAGCACCATGGATAGTGGTTGTAAGAGCACCCCCTCCTCAACAAGTAGCTCCCAACTGTTGCAGTACATGGTCTGGGTGAAGGCACCGCAACTCCCAGATGAGTCAGGAGTGTGATACTCAAGAATACTGAAACTCTTCATTGCTTCATCCCTCCAAATCCACAAGATACTGGACACCATTTGTCACCCTGTTAGAGTCCAAGAGCCTCTAGACTGGGTAAACTGGATCCGGGATCAAGCACACAGGTGCAGGAGGAGGAACATTGTGTTTGATTAAATGAGCAGCCTTGGAAAATCTCTAAACAACCACCACAATGTAGATAGAATCTCATTCTTATTGTCCACTTACTAGCTTTTTCTGAGCTCTGAACCACATCTCAGCTTTTGTTCCAAAGTTCAGGAATCTTTTTTTTTTTTCTACTCACCATGACAGAAGTGTTCCAATGAGTCAATTTCTGTCAGCTGACACAAACCAAACAGTTAACACTCAACGTGGCAAAACTCAACACTACTCTCTTGGCATCTCCCAAGTGTGTCAGGTCAGTGCCAAACAAAATAAAACCCAGTCCCAATAAATGACGTAACCTCTCATCCCCAACTGCTTCTTGGACACACTCTAATCTACCAAATTAAAGGAGATCTTAGTTTTGCATCTTTACGTAACTATGTCAGAAGCTGCTTCATTTCTTCCATGAAAAGATTCGGTATACAAAAACAGCTCTCGCTATCAAGTAATCCAACCTACAGCCAAGTATCGCCAGAGAAACTCAAGTATTAAGGTCCACTGGAGATGTATGGAGTGGAAGTCAAGGTGCTTTTTCCTAGGAGTTTTAATGGAAACTACGCTATCTACCCATACTTGTGGATTACTACCCCCGTTGGGAATGCCACGCAATGCCAAGCAACATCCATGTTCTCTGGTTTCAAACAACAAAGGAAAAGGACACAACAGAAAATGAACTACAATAAACATACACACGATGAAGAATGGAACAAGTCTGTCTGGGTAAAAGCTCATTCCTGTATGAAGGCTGAAAAATCCTTCACCGCAATATCTCACATCTCAAGGTGTAAAAGGACTATGATGTGTACAGCAAAGTGAGTCTGCTGAAAAATAGGGTAATCTGAAGAATTTGGAGAGGAGTTATGGATGTGGCTTAAATTAAACCCTTCTTACCCCACTGCAACAGGATAGGGAATCATGTTTTCGAGACCTCTATAGTTTATGTGATGACACTGGACCAAAAATACCTAATTACAGTTACTATCAGTCTTAATGACTCAATCTCTGCAGACTGTGTGCTCTTACTGTCAACATCCTGATGAAAATAGTTTAGCACACCAAATAGGGAACTTCATCAGGTAGGCTACTTAACAGTTTTAAAGTGCAAGTTAGGAGGACAGATTTTTGATACCTAAATATAATATGTATTTTTTTTCTTTTCATCATTTTATTCATAATATTACAAAATGAATGAAATTGCAAATACAATATTATCTAACAATTCAACTATCTAAAGGTGTATCACTTAAAACAGGTTGCAAACTACAGGCTTGACCTGTAGTTTGCAACTACAGGAGGGGGGGGGGTGGTTGTCTGTAAAATGTTGACAATGTGATTTTTTTTTTGTTGTTGTTATGAATCTATTATTCTTTGTCTTCGTCATCATGGATTATGCATACAATTAGTTTATTACGTGTGTGTGTGTGTGTGTGTGTGTGTGTTATCTTATTGTGAGCTCCCCCGTTAGCTATGGTATAGTTTTCGTGAAAATGATGTTCAGCATGGTTTTCCATCTATCCGTTATCAATAACCAAGTCATTTGCTGGGTCATTGGGTGCTGGAGTTGATTCCAAGCTGACAGCATTTCTTTCTGAATAAGAACTATTATTACTGTTGCACCTTTTTTTTTGCTTTTGACATTTTGTTTCTCTTTTATTCAAACCTACATCATATTAATGTATATCTGTTTGGGCGTTGGGGAAATGGCGGTGGGTATTTTGTGACAGCGGTCACTACATTAACGGATTTCATCATGATTGAATCAATATGCCGATTTAACATTATTTCTGTTATCGACCTGCGATTTTTAAGACGAATTTATTTAAATTTATTTGCTTGTCACCATTTTTGTGGCCATTTATTCCGTTCGGTCGCATTTATTTCTTGACGTACCCTTATTGTGGAAGGGGGAAAAAAGGAACCTGATGAGGCTTTCGTTTGTTCAGCCTAACATCATATTCAAGTATGTGTTTGATGTTGGTTTTTGATGGTATCAATTTGTTATTTCTGTAATTCAATGTATGACTTTTAAGTCAAATGAGCCACACCATGTAGCCACTTTCTGTCCCCATCTAGGTGGCTAGCTTAGTCAAGACTGAGAAAGGTAAGTTTTGTTTGTCCACCATGTCCTTTTCTAGAGTTTATGCTGGAAGATTAAAGCTTGTGTGAGAGGTCAGTTCATCCAACCACAGGCAGCTGTGGAGGTTTTTTTTTTTTTTTT